TTGTTGCTGTTACTTTATATGTTCGTGACATGACTGAGTTTCTTAATATGAATGCACAATATGCTTCAATAATGTGTAGAATTAGTCCTCCTGTGAGAGTTTGTGTTGAAATACCTCTTTCAGAGTACACACCTATTCTTATGGATGTAGTGGCCTATAAACCACCATCCAARTCATCCTCAAATTCAAACCTCCCATCAATGTCCAAACATACAATGCATGTACAAAGTATATCTCATTGGGCGCCTGCTAATATTGGACCATATAGCCAAGCTATTCGAGTAAGTTAATAATTTATTATGAGCATACAATTTAATTAGAGGCATTGTTTATATTATGTAATTTATTTACATGTTAAAGTTAACTAATATTTTTTATTTCTATTATCCATTAATTACCTAGTATTAATTGTCTAAAATGTATTAAAGTTTGATATTTATATTAAACTGTTATTGATACTTCTTATTTTTAATTTTAAAAATTGTAACTTATTATAAGTGAAATTTTTTAAATTGCTTCTTCATCCTATTTTCCTTATAATAAAGGATACTGATTTATCTGATTCTSTTTGAATTTTATTGCGATTTTTGTATTATGATAATGTGTTTGTCGTTTGATTGTATCCTTGATGTTTCCTCAGTTTATTTTGTACGATTGTATGCTACTATATTATATTGTTATTTAATGGCTWTTAGAATACTAATCATGTTTTTAATGTATAATTTTAGGTTGGTGATATTATTTATGTTGCTGGACAGATTGCACTAGTGCCAGGTACATTGAATATTGTTGAGGGTGGAATTAGGCAACAATGTCGACTTTCATTAAGACATGTTAGCMGAATTATTAAAGCAGTTGATACTAATACACAACTTAGAGATGTTGTTCAAGTAAATTTACATACAAATGTGATATTTTTTGTTTTTGGCGTATTAATCTTACATATTTATTTTTAGGGCATATGTTATGTGACTCATACCAAATATATTCATGCTGCTAGAACAGAATGGGAAAAAAGGACAAATAATGCTATTGTAGATTATATTGTAGTATCACGACTTCCAAAAAATGCTATTGTAGAATGGCATTTATGGGCACATAGACATAATGCTAGATTTGAATGTAAGCATATTTACAAAATAATTTATCAAACATGCTCACCCCCATTTTTTCTTTAGTGCCTAAATKATTTATTCAAATTTTGATTTTTGGAATTTGTCAGTAAACAGACAATTTTTCTAACTCTTAAATTCTTTTTAACTACTTAAAGAGTGCTCTATGGCTATACTATCAATTAAAACCCCCATTTTTAATGTAAATTATKATTGAAAATTTTGTTGTACCCAATTCAAAATTCGAATGAGTAATTTCTAAATTATTAAAAAAATTTTATTTTGAAATCTTTAAATAGTAATGGTAAATTGTAAATGRTTTTACAAAAATATAAATWAGATATAATATTGAAAATAATATTTATTATACCCAGGCTATTTYTACAAATTATAAATGCTGAAAGATTATTATTATATTATATAATTAATATTTATTAATGACTAATATTTTCATATTACCATAGTTCTTATATTTTATAAACCTAGTAGTATGGAATTTTTATCTTTAATACACATAGTTTAATAATTAAAAGCTACTCATACTARTTTTGATTTTGATACATAAAATAATATAGAAAAATGATCCACTGAATAATTTACAATTGATAATAAAAGGGGGATTTACGTTTGAAAAACAAAATGTTGCATCTCCACAGAACAATGTCAAGTAGTACAAGAGTTTGAAAGTCTGGTCTAAGTATATTTAAAAATTATAAAAATCCAGTTTTCAAAACTACAATATTGAAAAAAAATGTTGAATGTGATTTATTAATTATCCAATATGTGGTATATTAAAAATTTAATAATTTTTGAAAAAATGTATGTATCCTATTTTTATATTTTTATTAGATGAAGAAACAGGTTGTTGTGTTGACAATTATAGGGTGTCAATACGTCGACGTTGGAACTATGAAAACAATGTGGCTGCAATTGTTACATACATTTCATCTGGTATTTTTTAATTTAGAAAGATAAATAGAACAMAATATAACACATCATTACTTTATTTCAGGATCATGCACTTCATTATCAACCATAACTGAGTCATTAGAGACATCTACTGAATCTATATCTGCCATTGGTCTAGAGGAGGCTTTCCGTTATTCTTTAAAACGACTGCTGCGTGGAGAACCAACTTCAACACCAACTGATGCAATTTGCTCGTTACGAATATTTTACAAAGTATCGCAAGATCAAAAACCTATATGTCGACAACTTATCAATACTACATTGAATAATTTAAAAGCTGAATATCGAATAGTTGCTACTGTCATACCTGTGTTACATTTGCATCATCCCAATACATTTGTATCAATCTGTGCGCTGAGGCATAATACCTGAGATTCATTACCATAAAATTATTGGCACAATCGCACACTAGAATAAGGAACAAAGACAATGGCCAGCTGTTCCATTAATAGATAATAATCAGCTTTATATAAATGTTTTATAAACCTATGTATTATTATGGCTAAAGATGTTTTTGATTGAAATCTTAAAATGTACAGTCAATAATATTCTAGGTAAAATATTTAATTTATATAATTTGTTTTAATATCTCAGTTAAACAGTCCGTCCGGTTAAACTTAAAAAAAAATTCTTAGGTGTGCTTTACCCAAAATAATTTATTTGCTCAAATACAATTTGTTTAAACATTATTTATAATTACTTATTTGGTTTGCTATTCATAAATTAGTAGTACTTAAATATTTT